TCTATAAAAGGTCTGGCCTATATCCTGCACATACGAGGTGTCTATGCATTTATTACACTCTTCCATTAGAATAAGTTCAAAAGGCAGAGCTGCTGGGAGGAGAGAACTACCATTTTAAAATGTGACATAAAACTACGGTTAATCCCAGCAGCTCAGGACGCTAAGACAGGAGAATCGCAAGTTCAAAGCCAGCCTTAGCAATGGCGATGTGCTAAGCAACTCAGTGAGACCCTGTCTCTAAATAAAATACAAAATGGGGCTGGGGATGTGGCTCAGTGTTCCAGTGCCCCTGAGCTCAATCCCCCCTACCAAAAAAGAAAATTTTACAGACAGCACTCAGGTGATTATTACACTTTACATAACAATATACACAAGTCTCTCCAGAGAGCAAGTAATATTAAACAACCAACACTCCTGAGCTTACCATGTGCTAGATCCTATTCAAAGCAACTGCCCTACAGTGACTTATTCAACCCGAGGAGCCCTGTGTGGAAGAGGACTGACCCGGGAGCAGGCCAGCCTTCTCTTGTCAGCCCTGGAGAGTGAGCATCTAGCCTCTGCTCCCCTTCCATACTGGTCTACGAAGGCGCTTTCCTTACTATTGGAGTCATAAAGGCGTAACAGGTTGCCTATTTTCTCTCTCATTACCTCTGAACCTTGCTTTCAGGAAGCCTTCTGCCACACAGGCTTGGTTTTGCTTCCCTTTGTTTGCCGGGATGGAACCCAGGGCCTCACACATACTAGGCAAGCGTTCTACCCCGGCCAGCCGGCAGTTGTTTGTTTGTTTGTTTTAATTATATGTTAACTCTGTTGTTATTTTCTCTTAAGCCTTCTGGTTTGGTTTTAGGATAAGAATAGATTAATCGGCAGTTTTTCAAACTTTTTGGCCTTTAAATGTGTTATTTTTCAATAAAAATCCTCCAAGGTAATTGACAGAAGAATCAGCAAACTAAGCCTCTCAGGTTAAAATGGATGAGGAGCACCAGCCACCTTCCGCCCCCACTTCCCTGAGACAGCCTGGGGGCTTCTCAGGAAGAGATCCCAGGTGGAACACAACTGCCTCTGGGCGGCCTGGGTTTAAGGGGCTTGGGAGGTTGTTTGTTTTTGCTAGGGATGAATCAGCTCCACACAAGTGCCCCACCACTGCTCTGCACCACCAGCCTACACCGCTAAGATACCTTCCAGTCCTAGGCCGCCTGAGTCTAACTAACCTAAGAGTGCAGGAAAGCCAAAATGACTTCTCAGACCCTAGGAAACAGGGTTAGCCATGATAGCTCCAGGGCAGCCAAGCTCTGTACCCAAAAGCCATTCCAAACCATCTTCTCAAAGAGGCCATTCTTGCCCCCACATCTCAACAACACTCAAGACCACCTCTGGCCCAGAAGCAGGGGCAGGAGGAGAGGGGGTGGACCACTGGGACTTAACACAGCGAGGAGTACCAGGACTCCACTCTAAGCTTCTGTCAGGCTTCTCCTCTCACGCTGGTCACAGCCGTGCCCACCTCTCATGACCGTGGGCAGCAATAAAAAGACTTGGATGGCAAATGCTTAAAACAACAGCATGTGGCCTCAATTAGGTGCTCACTAGTGCTAGCTACTGATTTATGTGACAAGCACTAGTATTATCACTTCCCTGCTCCAGGAAAGATGAGGCTAAAGAGAGTTCCCTAACCCTAACCCACAGTTAGGTGGAATTAGATGGAGGGTCACAGTGGAGGCCACCTGCCTTCCAGGAAATGAGGAGGTGGAGGCAGGGAGGTACACAGCCACGGGCCACCCCTAAGCAGGGCCTGAGAGCAGATATTGACCTCTGACGGGAACACAAATGAGCAGGCTCTGTGGCCCTCATTCCCCACAGATGACTCAAGTGTGGCAACCCTACACACGGGCTTTCACCTGACGTGAACCACAAGGTACTTCTCCCTGCTCTAGATCAAGGCCAAATGCCCGGAGCCATTATGCTGCAAGACACATGCTGGCCACCAGACACCAAAAATAAAAGCCCCTCCAAAACTATCTTCCCAGACCCCCCCCCCGGGACAGACTGGGGGCCCCTACAAACGGGCACTCTCTCTCCCTAGCTAAGGACTCTGGTCTGAAGAGTGAGAGCCCCCAGCTCGCAGCAGCAGCAGCTATCCCTCACCCTCCATCTCCCCACTCCCTACATCAGGTAGTCACACTGCTCAGGCAGCTCCAGAGCCAGGAGAGCCAGCCGTTTTCAATAGAGAACAGCATGGATGAGTTCTACAGGAGCCATGAAATCTTCTGCTCCGGCAATTAGGACGGCACAAAGTCGCCTTTCCTTTGGTGCCACCCCCAACATCAAAGGATGGGAATTCAAAACCATTCATGCTGCATTGAAACCTCACAATGAAGCTGGAAAATGGAAGTCGATTACTGGGCATAAATATGCAGTAGTTAAAAGGAAAGAGTTATAACAAAATTAAACTGCAGCAGCCCCACAATGTGTGGAAACTTCCAGCACTGGAGTCTTTCTGGCAAGCACCGGGAGGACACCCTGAATGCTCACAGGCCTGGCGGCTGGAGCTGTACACGGCCAGGGTGCCATGTTGTCTTGTCCACCTTGTAGAGCAGCAGCCTCTGCGAACGTGGCATCTGGGGCTGACCACAGAACATCCTCCCTGACGAAGGCTGCTTTGGTCACATTTGTCCTTGGTCCCTAGGCCTTCCAGGCCTCTGTGCATCCAGCCATCTTCCCTCCAAGCCGCTCCAGGATCCCCAGGGGCACTCTGCCACCAGCTCCCTTGTAGGAGAAAGCAAAAACCCTAAGAGGGCAGTGCTCCATCTGCCTGCCCAGCAAACCCTGCCTCTTTCTGATTGATCACTGCTCTCTTTAGGAAGGTATCTGATCTCCCAAAGAAAAACCCAGAACACAGAAAGCTATACAAGTCTTACACTGTGTCAGGGTGTGTGTTTTTAAGGCATGAAAATACTTCCCTCCCACACAAACCGGAGTTCTTCTGGGGAAAGATGCCACAGATCCCAGGAAGGAGAATATCTGGGAAAGCTGATCAGTCTTAAAAATAGATAGCTGAACCCAGACTAGAATTCACAGGAGCTACCTGAAAAAAATTAAATCTCACATATTTTTGATATCCAGAACTCCATTCTGATGAAACTTCTAACTGGGTGGCATTTTGCATTTCCAATTATAATAGAGTAATCGTGTTGCCATAGTGACTGCAAGATTCTGCAATAACTTTTGTTGCCTTGTAACTGCTATAGTGTATATTTGTGTACTAGCAGCTGAGTTTTCTTAATTCAATCTCCCTGCCTCTCCTCCTCCACCACCACCACCACCACCACCACCTTTCCTGGCTGGATTCTGAAGCCACCACACCAGCTTTCATTAGGCCGTCCCTAAAATAATGCACGGAATTATCAGAAGCAATTAGAACTCCAGGCAACCACGATCTTATTACCGAAGAAAAAGCGAAACCAGGTCAGGGTGCAAGCCGCCAGCATCCCCCCCGGACTCCCGGGCCAGGCTGTACTCAGGTTTACTCCCAGGCCTTAAATGCTTAGGTGGTTTGTGGGAACCGGCGGAAAAGCCTGACTAGAGCAAAGCGGGCAGGCAAAGTGACTACACAGGCCTTTCCTCCCTCCCCGAGCAGGCAGAGCTCTCAGCAAGCAATTAGGTAGGTCTCTACAGTAATGCAATTAGGATTTAGTTAAGAAAGTCATTAGTTCTAAAATAACTTAAGTTTAATTTCTGCAACGCTTTATTTGAAAATTGTGTCACAGCAGGTCAATTTACAGCATGCAATAAAGAGCACACTCCTATCAGCGGCTGCAAGTTATTACAAATTTTCGACGTGCATTAAGGAGTGCACGGGCCCACCCCCGGCCTCCCCGACCGGCACGCGCGGGCTCCCGCTCCGGGGCCACACACACACCCGCGTCCCCGTAAACACCGGCGCCGCGCGTTTCGCAACGCCGCGGGTCCCGCGGGCGGCCGGGCCGAGCCGCGGCCCCCGCCCCGGCGCCGAGGGGCGTTTTCCGCAAACTCACACGTCCGTCTGACAAAGTTACATAACGCGTGCCGCGCGGGGCGGGCGCGCCCGCGCCCACCTGCGCCGCTGGCCGCGCAG